GGGGGCAAATTAACTTTACTGGTGGACGTACCTGAATTAAAGTTTCTTACGACGGATGTCGATTGGTCAAATACAATAATATCAGTCCAAATAGCATCGGCTCGGCTAATGGCTAGTTATCAAACTAATCTTTGCTTTGTTTCGTCAGATTTGACCAGGTCCTCCATTACGGCCTATCGCATTCAGCGCACTAACAAAGGATTTGACCACACAATGTATTGTGCAGTGTAGCCTTCTGACTAGCTGTTTCACCAAACTGGGAGCAATCGGGACTACAACATTAATTATAATATTCCGTTTTAGAGGATTTAATCAAACTGGGCCAAAATGGTAGCCTTTGCTGCCCCATGCAGGAAAATCTGGTTTTCCTCAAATGTATCATCAAACCATGCCAAATACGGAACTGGCAAAACATTTTTCAATGTGCACTGGTTATTACTAATTAGTTTTCGGGCCTTTCAAGAAATATGTTTTCGTATTCCAAATATATATATATATAGTTAGAAAATTAAAGAATAACGTAGAGATGATGAAAAGACAAAATAAAAAGCCATCGTCGAATTCTATTTCATTAACAACAGCAGAATATTTAATCGTCATTGAAATCGTTCTGTTAACATTTCTATGTAAGCCAAAAGTGCATTTCTTTAGGAACTGATTATTTAAATCGGATAAAGATTTTAAGGTGCTCCCACAGAATTCTACACTAAGTGTAGAATTCTGTGGGTGCTCCAGATATACCTTGGTCAGTTTCATTTCTGCTTCTTTGAATTTGTGGAAAGCTTTTCTCTATATTAGTCAGCCATTATTTCCTGTCAATGGTTAAAAATTGATAGATGATGCCCACGGATGGAAAGGACCCGACCTTCATGATCAGATTGGATCGGGTCGTCAGTGCGCACAAAATCAGTATTATCAAACTGACTCCAGCTTTGCTTCATTAAATACGACCCGGAACTCCATTTAGGTCCTTTGCTCAAGTAAAGCAAATGAAAATCTGACAACGCAATAATAGTAACCCTCTGGCTGGTTGTTTTCATCAAACGTATAGAATGTATCATATCATTGTGTTTCAAGAAAATCAAACACGTGAAATTTGGGAGGGTTTGATCAAATAGTACCAAATGGTACCTCCGTCCCCTCCATGAAGGAAAACATAGCCTCAATCAAATTGTGTATCAATTGTGTCAAATATATCAAGTAATGGAGATTTCATGAAACTTGAATTGGGAGTGTGCGCTGGCTATTATACTCTCTTGCTCTTTCGATAAGATTAGCAACTAGTCTGTATACAGACCTACTAGTGTATTCCTCCGCTTGTTTGTTTATTTGTTTATTTGTTTGTTTTGGGGAGTTTGGTTTTTGTTTGTTTGAGTAAAGAGGAGCACATCGACACACTAAAGGACATTTAGTGCTGGGTAAAAGTAAAACAGCCAGAAAGAACCAACAGAGGGGCAGTAAGGGAGTAGGACCTACTAGAGGCGCCCCCCCCCCCAAAAAAAAAACCCAACCACCCACAGTATCCAACTGCATTTATAATATTATACGTACGTGTCTTGACTCTAGCGAAGAAGTTGTTCTCGTTCCTTTTCTGGAAGTTCACGCACGTGTAATACACAAATTCTACCTCGTCCTGTACGAAAACTGTAGACCTGAAAGAAAGAATGCAAATTTGATAAATGCCGATAAGGATCTCTCAACAATTTGATGCTTACCTGAAATAAAAGAAAAGTGGTCTCCTAGTTTCCTATTTTTAAAAACTAGTCTTGAGAGGGAAATGAAAGACAAAACAAAATGACTGGAAGGGCCTGCAAGATGTGTATCCTGTTAACAAAGTTCATAAACTTGCATTGCAATATCCTTGACCGCGTACAGTCATGAACTCCGATCTTTGCTCTTTGAACCCGTAAAACGGACTCATGATAATGTCCGACAACAGATCGAAGACCATTGTCATTGCACTTTTAGAATTATACAAATCAGCAACACGTTTTTAAAAAAATATTTCATAGTATGCATGTTGTAGTTTGCCTTTTAAAAGTTGCAGAAAAAGAAAACCGAATTGAAAAATCTGTAACCATAGCAAGATTGTGGGGGGGGGGGGGTATTTTTAATATTTTTAGTATCCTAAAACAGTGTCTTAGAGCGTTTTTGAGAGACTTGGATGTGTGTCATCAAAGAGTATGTGTGGTGTCGTGGTGAAATCACGCGCTAGTCAAAATAATGAATTCGAAGTAGTCGATATTCTTCCGTCCTTTGGGCAATCTGTGTCGATTATTTTTCAAAATTTGGTTTAACACCATTTATGCCCATTTGAAAATACAATTATGTGTGGGTTCTAGTGGGAAAAGGTTGATCAAAGGCACAACAAAATGTATACTGGCAGCCTGCAGATTTTGGAAGTCGATTTTCTTACCAATTTTACCTCTGACATCATGTGACCACCCCCCCCCCCTTTTTTTTTTTTACCTCCTTTAATTGCAAACGTCTCGACATCTGTTTCAAGATATATGGGTATTTTTTTTCATCAAAAGCAAGACAGATAAACAAGCTTTAAGATTATACCAATAATTCTATTAATTTTTTACCCCAAAATTGATGAACGCCTTATTCCAAAACAGCACGTTCGCTACAGTCAAGTGCATGTTGCAGCTTTACGCTGTTGCCCTTTATCTGGCTTTAAATTGAGCTCCATAGTGAATAGGAATAACACCAAAGCGCACGGCCTAGGGTATTATAATACACAAGTACAAGTCTATGGCAAAAGGCGTATGACATAATAGGCAGAGATGATAACGGTCCACAGAAATATCATTATCACGAGCAGTAGTAGTGGTAGTAGTAGTAGTAGTAGTAGTAGTAGTAGTAGTAGTAGTAGTAGTAGTAGT